ACTTGATTAAAAATACCCTACAACACACATTTTCAACAGAAATGTGCAGCTTTAAGGCTAAGGTGACCACAGGAGTTGATACAACACCGGCAGTGGCTAGAATCAATGGCCGGCCGGTCCTTCAACCTACGTGCAATTTAGTTTCTACGCTTGAAAGGCGTAATTCTCTAAAGAAAAGAGCACCAAAGTCTCCTCCTCCTCCTCCACCACCACCAACTTTTTCTAATAAAACCAACAAGGCCTCGCCTCCTTTATCTCCAATGTCGAAGTCTCCTAGATTACCAGCTATTAAGAGAGGAAGTGATGCTAATAGCTTGAATTCAAGTTCTGAGAAGGTCGTGATCCCAAGAAACACTACAAAGACACCGACTTTAGAGAGAAAGAAGTCGAAAAGTTTCAAGGAAAGTAGCGTTGGGAGGGGAGTGCATTCTTCTTTTATTGAGGCATCATTGAGTTATTCTTCCTCTTCGATTGTTGAGGCACCAGGAAGCATTGCCGCAGTCAGGAGAGAACAAATGGCACTCCAACATGCACAAAGAAAGATGAGAATTGCTCATTATGGAAGATCAAAGTCTGCCAGGTTTGAAGATCAAGTTGTTCCTAATGATTCTTCAATCACTATGGCAACAAAGACTGATCAGGAAGAAGAAAAGAGATGCAGTTTTATCACAGCAAATTCAGGTAAGGAAAAAAAGAAGAAATGAAGTTGGCCAAATGTTTGTTATGTTCCTGAGGTTAAATTTGGTGAAAATAATTTTGAACTTGAATGAGACATCCTCTGATTATGTTCCAAACTTCCATTGTTTTTGTGTTTAGATCCCATCTATGTTGCTTACCATGATGAAGAATGGGGAGTTCCAGTCCATGATGACAAGTAAAGACTGTCCCTTTCTTTCTCTGTCCCGTTCAATTGCACAAAACCAGCTTGCTTTACATTCCTATATTTCTTGCAGGATGTTATTTGAATTGCTAGTTCTAAGTGGTGCTCAGGTTGGTTCAGACTGGACTTCAATCTTGAAGAAACGCCAAGACTTCAGGTGGGTTGTTTTTTCATAGAAAAAGACACCGAATTACATTTTTTTTATTGTTTCTCAAAATTAGCGAAAGATAATGTTTCCTCTTCTGCAGAGATGCATTTTCAGGATTCGATGCAGGAATTGTGGCCAACATTTCCGAAAAACAGATAATGTCAATCAGTGCAGAATATGGGATTGATATGAGCCGAGTTCGAGGTGTTGTGGACAACTCTAACAGGATTCTTGAGGTAAACAATTAATCTAGCTTCAAAACTCGCAAATCATTTGTCTTTTATCGCATCTTTTTCAGAATCCGCCCTGGTCCTTCTCTTCTTGGCATTCTTTCTGCACATAAAAGACGTGATCTTGCATCTTCCAAACCTTCAAAAGAACCTTTTTATTCGGTTTAAAAAGATCATGTTTAAGAGTTCATCGTTAATAAAAAAAAATGCAATGACTTGATTAGTATCAACAGCTTGTTAATTGGTCTTCCCTTTTTCCTCTGATTTAGTGAAAAGTGGTTGCCAAGCAAGCTCCGACCCGAACTCATGGTGATGGGGTACCCCACATTTTATGTCAATACCCATGGCACAAGGGGACCCTTGTTATTTAATTAGACCTTGTTTTATTAAAATAAAAAAATTGATAGTCTTCAATATTGATTAGCAAGACCTGCATTGCTAGTTTGTTTTTTGTTTTTTTTTTTTGTGAGTGATAATATCTGTGACAATATTGCAGATCAAAAAGGAGTTCGGGTCATTTGACAGATACATAAGGACATTTGTCAATAACAAGCCTATCTCCACCTCGTACAAATTTGGACACAAGATTCCAGTGAAGACATCAAAATCAGAGACTATAAGCAAAGACATGGTTAGGAGGGGGTTTAGGTTTGTTGGTCCGACCATGGTTCACTCGTTCATGCAAGCAGCAGGGTTAACCAATGACCACTTGATCACTTGCCACAGGCACATTCCATGCACCTTAATGGCAGCCGCCCGCAGGCCTACCGAGGCACAAGCTCAATAGACTCAAATTGACATTAAAAAGGGACAGAAGAATTAACAAGACATAAAGAAAGTACGCTAAAACGCATATATAGTTAAGCCCATTTTCTAACCTGGAATGGTTGTGTGTGTTGTTAGATAGGAGGAGAAATTAAAAGGGTTTGTGACTTTCTGAGATTCCCTGAGATTTTTTTCTCTTTAACAGTTTGAGTGTGTTGAAATAGATTAGGGAGAAGAAAGGGTGGCGTAGCGTTGTGGTGGAGGAGACAGATAGCATGTGCGACCGGGAGGCAATGGCATGTGTGGGGTGCCAGTTGCTTTTTATTCCATGTGGCCTAGCACACTTGCGTTATTTGAGGGGTTTTCCTTTTACAGGCTGTGTGAGATGCTTGTTGAAGGAGGGTAGGACCGCCTACCATCACCTCCGTCTCCCTCTCCTTCTCTTTAGTTGTTTTGTGTTTGAGTTTGTAATTCTCCTGTATTTTCTAACCTTGTAGCTTTTGGGAGAATATTATACCCCAAATGTGAAATGTATCTTGGATTTGGTGTGCCATTTCTTAGTGTTGTTTATTGCACTTGTCATGTGCTTCTGAAGTGCTTTCTTTTTAAATATATCCTTTTATGATTTTTAACCATGTATGAGATATCTTCTCCATGTGCCCCCTGTCCTTTTCATGCGCTCTAAGTTATATATCATAGAAAGGTATCTCGCTATTAGGGCCTCTTACAGAGGAGCTAGTCACCGAAAGCCCTCGCCGGAATTTAGTTCTTTTCAAGCATTTCTCGAAGATCTTTCTCGATTGGCGAGGGCAGTGCAGGTCCGGAGAGATCCCTTTTTTTTTTTTTTGGTATCGCCATGAAATAAGGAAGCCCGACATAGAGCAGTCGACTAAAAATAGAAGACTGCTGGCCTGACCTTCGTTGCTCATCTTTATGGTCTAAGCTGTATTACTTATTGTTGATGCCACAAGAGAAGCGCATACTCTTCAAGAATTTTCATTGGACATCAAGAGAGTGGGCGGGAATTTGACTTCTCTTGCCTTTAATGGGAGGCTCCAATTATCGTGCCCTCGGAGCGTGTTTGGTACGGGTAGTTTTTGTAACTGTAATTTGAAAAAAAATTATTTTTAATTAAAATTTATTTAATATTTATATATATTTAATTAAAATTATAGTTAAAATTAAAGTTAAATAAAAAATAATTTAATATATTTGATTAAAAAAAAATTTAAATGTGGATTAAAAATACTTTTTAAATTGAAATTATAAAATAACTAAATATATATATATATATTAATATTGATAATTTTTAATTTAAATATTGTAGATTTAATTATTTTATTATATAATGAAATAAATAATATTTTATTTAAAATATTTTTTATTATTTTATTAAACTATTTATAATTCTATCACATATAAAATTAATCCAATAAAAATTACAGTTTTTATAATTTTTTAAGTGTGTAGGTAAGTATATTATCAAGATTAAAATTAAAATTATAATCAAATTTTATAAATATTACACTATTTTGTAATGTCTTTCTAATTTTATTAAATAATACTAAACATTAATATTTTAAATAAAATAGAAAATTAATATGTTTACTGTTCACTTTTACATGCAGAGTGAATTAATTCACTCTGCTTGGCTTTTCTTCCTTTCCAAGTTCATCGAGTCCATCCCCACTCACCAATATCCTCTGTTGTGTTTCCTTCGTCATCCCCCCAAGTTCTGGCCCTAGCTTTTCCAGCTCTGCCTGGGCGACTGGTGCACTTCCTCTGGTAACAGGGGCTGATCCATTTTCATCATCTTCTTTGTTTTCTGGAGTCTCGAATGCCTGTTGGGAAGAACATGATGGATCGTCATGGGGATGTCACTGGACTATTTGGTGCACTTATGCTGATTAAAATCTTGCAGAACAAAGAATGGCATAGCTTTAGAAGCAGTTTATAGTTGCTTTCCATTCACTTGCGTTTTAAACACAAAGAACACCAAACCCCATAAACAGTAAATCATATTTTATACTTTATCAAACACCAATTTTTCTGTGATTTGCTTCAACCACATAAATAAACACCCTCGTACTCTAGTTCATAGCATCTTGGGCTTTCGTCTTTGTGATGAAATCAACATTTCCGTTTGAAAACACCCCGAGACCATACCATAGAGAGATTGTTAAAAACATGTTCACAAAATCATGTTACAAATCTAGAAACATGAAAATAAGTAAATAACCTTTGTGTGAATCGCCTCTCTTGCAGGATGACAATACTTTTGCCTGTAACTTGTTCGGAAATACGATGTTAAGGATTCCGATGACTTTCCATGGTTTTGGTGTCTGCAGGCACTAAATGCGCGTTTAATAATACGGCGCGATGTATTTTATAAAATGTTTTTATTAAAATATTTTTTAATTTTTAATATTAACATATTAAAATTATTAAAAAACACCTATAAAAATACCAATTTAATACTAATACTTTTTAAGAGAGAAAATGATTTGAAAATAAAAAACTACCACAACAGTAAATTTCCATGTTTTTTTTTTAATTTTTAATACCAGTTGATGAAAATCATTAAAAAATTTAAAGACTAAATTTCCATTTTTTTTAATTTTTATTATCAGTTGATGAAAATCATTAAAAAATTTAACATAAATGTATAGAATCATAAAAAAAGCTCCTGCAAAAAAACTAAATAAAAAATAATTTAAAAAGTAGAAGCAACCACTATGTCAAACCAATACTTAAACTCCATTTCCACTATATTTTTATGTCATTAATAATAGAACATTAAAAAATATATTTCATAGGAAAGGAGTTTGAATGTAAAGAAAAAAAAAAGCAAAAATTTAATGGCATGTAAACCCAGCAACATCGAAGCAAATCAAATTGGGTTAACGTTTAGGTTCTTTACTTTCTGGCCCAACTTAGAAGAAGCCGGAAATAAAATGCTTACAACCCACAACCCACTGCGTAGTATGTAGAGAGAGACCAAGACGCTACATTACATAGGGCTTTCTTTTCTTCCTCAACGATCGATTCCCTTCCCTTCCACTCCCATTTTCCACTCTCTTCATACACATTTGAATCAATACCCTTCCACCCCCCCACTCTCTATCCACAAAATCATAAAAAAATCGAATAAAGTGCGTTTCTGTTTTCAACTAGTGCATAGCCATGCACATCTTCATCACCGACGATGACCTCGCGCGGCACTCAAACGACGCGTCGTATGTGGCCGCGAAGGCCGACGAGTTCATCAGAGGATTACAGAGCGAACTCGAAAATGTGAGGGCTGCGGCCGATGCGGCGTCGATCACCGCGGAACAAACCTGTTCGCTTCTCGAACAGAAGTTCTTGGCTCTTTCTACCGAATTCTCGAAGCTCGAGTCTCAAAACGCACAGCTTCAGTCCTCTCTCGATGATCGCCTCTCAGAACTTGCTCAGGCACAGGCACAGAAGCATCAGCTTCACTTGCAATCTGTAAGCATTCCTATTTTCAGTTTCAGTTTCTTTGCAATGCCTACATGCCTTTTTTCCAAGCTTTTAGGGTTGTTAATTGTTTATTGTTTTGTAGATTGGAAAGGATGGGGAGATAGAAAGGTTGACGATGGAAGTTTCGGAATTGCACAAGTCGAAGAGGCAGTTGATGGAGTTAGTGGAGCAGAAGGATTTGGAGATTAGTGAGAAGAATGCTACTTTCAATGGTTATCTTGACAAGATTGTAAGTTGCCTCTGGTTGTTATTCTCTTTGGCTCTTTGATTATCCTGGCATAACTTCGCCTTAGCTTATTTTCTAATGGATGTGAAGGTCAATTTGACTGATAGAGCAGCAAATAGGGAGGCTCGAATAAGCGAACTTGAGGCAGAGTTGGCCCGTTCTCAGGCTACTTGTACTCGTCTTTTGCAGGTTGGTTTTGCGTGAATGCATGCATGGATTTATACGTGTATGTATATCTGTACGTCATACGCATACAAATTGGCTAACCTTTCCACTGTTTGGGCAAATTGGCAGAGCCATAATAGATAGTGCACGAGTTTTGTTTGGATATCCTCTCCTCTTGTTCTGTGCAGCAGCTTGATATGCACATATATTTCATTCATTTTGCAAGGATTAATACCCATTTACTATTAATGTTAATGTTAATGTTACTGGCTTTCTGTTCATATATATTGATTATTTGTACGCTTGTCTTACGTTCAGTCTGTCTAGAGTGGCATGTTGTTTAATGTTTAAAGTCTGGATTTGACCAGGAGAAAGAACTTATTGAGAGGCATAATGCATGGCTAAATGATGAATTGACTGCCAAAGCTGACACTCTCATGGAGTTACGCCGAAGGCATGCTGATCTTGAGGAGGATGTATCTACCAAGCTTGCAGATGTAATTGACTTTTATATGTTCTTTCTAGTTCTTTGTTCTTAACATTTTTCAGTAATTTTCTTTGCTGTATCTAATCTCATTGAATGATTTTAAACTCTTCAGGCAGAGAGACGGTTCAATGAAAGCTCTAGTTCATCAAAGAGGAGCATGGAAAGGGTGAAGGAGTTAGAACTGAAATTGACATCCGTGCAGGAGGTAAAATAGTTCAAAATTTTCATAAAAAATTGTGTTACATGCAATTGCTTTGGTGGCAGCTGGCTCATGAACTGTCTTTTGCCACTTGTGAAGGAATTATGCTCCTCTAGAGATGCTGCTGGAGCCAATGAAGAGCGATTGTCTGCTGAACTCTCAACTGTAAGTGTCATAATTATTTGATATCGATTGTATTTCTTCTTCTTCTTTTGGCATCGGGGTGGTGTGTAGAATGGTTGAGCTCCACATCTGTTTGCGTTTGAAAGAGTATGTGCTTGAATCTTTTCAAGTCTATGACTAAAAATAGAGACATTAAAATTTTTTATGTTGCTTTACCTGCTTTCAATTGCTGTATTTTGTTACAAGGATTGGGGGCTAGGATAAGGAGCAGGGTATTTTGCTGCAGATGCTGTGGAAAAGTTGTTAGGAATATAAGATGTGAAGGCCTTGGGGGGATGTGAGCTGCAAGTGGAGAGTGGTGGTTTTGGCAATGTTGTGCAGATGTCATTCGGTGTGAATGCTGATTGTGTTGGAGAAATGCATTGGGGTTCAGCACATGTAGTTGTACAAGATTTTGTAGCTTTAAAACCTTGTTTGGGATTTTCATCATGACTGTTTAGCCGTGACATGATGATTTGTTGGTACAATTTTAACAGGAAATGGTTATCTTAACCACTTCCTTTTCTTTTATGGCTTTGTTCATATGGAATACTGGGTGAAAAAAAATTACTGGCTTTCATTATCTTGTTTTAAGTTGACAAGAGACTGAATTCACAGTGAAGAGGAGGTTGAGTTGATTTTTGCTGCCGATGTATCAATTGTGGATATCTTGGTAGTTCATTGGGATTCAATTCGAGCCATTTAATTTTGTAGTTTGACTTTTTTTTCCTTCCCCCTTTTTCTTTCAAGTGTTCTTTTCTTTTTGTTTCTTAGTTATACTCCTTGTTTGCTTTTCCAGTATCTGGCCTTCCATTCTTTCCTCTATGGAGGCAAATCTGCATTTTGTCTAATACCTTATAAGTGCTGCTACTTTAATTCCTCTGTTTTCTGTCCAGTCAATTGTCTTTCTGGCTGTGAAAAGTTATTTTTGTAGGCACTTCTCTTTATATGCTTGTTTTCTAGTTTGGATAATTTCCTTTGGCTGTTATCTCACTGGATTTTATATTAGAGAAAAGAAAGAGCATTATTTCAAACAGCAGTGTAGTGAAAAATCAAAGTAATCATAAGTCGATTTGGTCAAGGATTTTATAAATAGAGTTGATTAATGTCTACTCGCTGTGACTTCTTAAACTCTAAGCTTCTAATGTTTTGTTTAGGTTATTTCATGACTGCCTCAACCCTTCTTGTTACATTGACAATTTCGGGTTCAATCAGTATTCATTATTATGTCTTGCATTAGATAATGACTTGTGAAATGGAGAAAATTTTGCCTATAATGTACCGAATCTTAATTTTTTAATAATTATTTCCCAACCATTTAGGTAAATAAGCTTGTTGAATTGTACAAAGAAAGCTCTGAGGAATGGTCTCAAAAGGCAGGAGAGCTCGAGGGCGTGATCAAAGCTCTAGAAGTGAGATTTTTATTCCTGTAGATTTGTTGAATTTGATCATTCGAACTAATAAATACATTTGCATTGATTCTGTATGCTAATTTTTGTTGCTTTTGCAAGCAGACACATTTGAGTCAAGTTGAAAATGACTACAAAGAGAGATTGGAGAAGGAAATATCTGCTCGAAAACAATTAGAGAAGGTCTGCTGGCGTCTGTTACCTCGCTTTCTGACCAGTATTTGTTTTTTGGATCAGCTTAGTAGGGTTTCCATTCTGTTTGTCTGGAAGTGTCAATTAGATGCTCTGTCTTTTCAAATAGATCCATTTTTTTAATAAATCTTCATGGCAGTTGATTCCCATTATCCGCTTTATTTTTCTTTTGTTGTTATTTTGTTACCTTTTGCTGTTAAGCATGCTGTGGACTCTCTTTCTTTGCTTCTTGTTCTTTGAGAATTTCAACACAGCTTTGGATTAAGAACTTGGACTGTGAGGATTGGCCATGGTTCAGAAATATGCAGCTAGTTGTAGCTAGTTATGGAGTTTTAATTTTATTAGTTCTTTTGGACAAATATTTTGGGAAAGAAACATGAGTTATATCAACTTTACCTGGCCGAGAGAAGTTTTTTCATTTTGGGCATGCATCAACTCCATTTGTCTTCTCAGCAATTACCATTTGTTCTGCTAATATGATCAGTTCTTGTTCACCATCCATTCTTTTTGGCAGAAAAGATAACAGTGTTTAGTTTGAGTGTTAATCATGTGGGGTGAGTTGTTTGAGTGCTTTTATTTTCATTATATGGGTTTTTGTTTTGTTTGTTATAGGAGGCGGGGGATTTGAAAGACAAACTTGAAAGGTGCGAAGCTGATATTGAAAGTAGCCGGAAAACTAATGAACTGAGTCTTCTTCCTCTCAACAGTTACACTACAGAAAGGTATGTTTTGATTCTTTTTTTAAATCATGGCTATTGCATGTCTATACGGTTGCTATTCATGGATGAATTTCTAGTCTCCTCACATGGGCTTATTTATCTTATGAAAAAGGTTTGTATTTATTCTTCTATTCCTTTTGTGTTATAAGAAAAACTGCTACCTTTGATTCAAAGCTCTCATTTGTATTGTTTAAAATTCATTTTGGATTTTTATTTTTTTTTTTATTATTAGTGATTATGGGAATCATTCAATACGTTTCCAATTTGATGGGGTTGTAACTTTTTGGGACTTCTCCAACTTTTTAAAGAAGTTGATGTTTGGAGATTTAACCTATAAATCTTTTCTTGTTTATCTTACTCATTATTCCACCTCTTCCTGATGCTAATCATATACTGTTGCCATTCATGGATGAATTTCTAGTCCCCTCACATGGGCTTATTTATCTTATGAAAAAGGTTTGTATTTATTCTTCTATTCCTTTTGTGTTACAAGAAAAGTTGCTGCCTTTGATTGAAAGCTCTCATTTGTATTGGTTAAAGTTCATTTTAGATTTGGATTTGTACTTGTATTATTTTTTATTATTAGTGATTACGGTAATCATTCAATATGTTTCCAATTTGATGGGGTTTTAACTTTTTGGGACTTCTTCAACTTTTTAAAGAAGTTGATTTTTGGAGATTTAACCTATAAATCTTTTCTTGTTTATCTTACTCATTATTCCACCTCTTCCTGATGCTAATCATATACTTGTGGAATTATGTGATATTCTTGCCATAACGTTTTAACCCTGATAATTTTGTAGGTCTTTTCTGGTTCATCTTACTTGTACTTGTAACCAGTCCCAAGGCTAATCTTATATGCGTTTATATACGATGCTCATAACATGATGGATTTTTTCATTGCATTGTGTCAAAGCTAATCAATGTGTCATGTTTTAAAGAGGGCTGGCCTTTTTCTTTGTCTATATTGTTTTCATTTTTTTCTTTTTGAATTTTACGAAGTGCCAACTTGGTACATTTGCTTTAATATAGATTTCAATGGAATGGAATGCCTTTTCCCTTTTAAAGAAGAAGCCTTGGGTTTGCTTCCTGTTGTTTTCTTATTGTTGATTTGGAGGAATGATGTTTTCTTATGGTTGATTCGGAGGGAAGAAAACTGGATTTTTTTTTATTTATTTTTGGAGTGGAGGGGGTGGGCATCAAATTGTTATGATGATTTGTGGTTAAGCACAGAACCTATTCAATTTTATAGGCTAAGATTTGTTTTATGGAGGCACCCTCCTGTAATTGATTATAACATGGGAATTTGCTAGTAAATTTTCAATTGCTATTTGCATTATTCCGTTCTTTCTTTTATCGCAGATGGATGGATCCACTCAATAATGATGATCTTGCTGATGGTAACGGCATGGTTGTCTCCAAGATCCCAGTTGGTGTTTCAGGAACTGCATTAGCAGCTTCTCTGCTCCGTGATGGTTGGAGTGTGAGTTGATGCAAATATACTTATCCCATGTAGACTTACACTCGCACACATGTAGTGCAGTTTTGATTTTGTATTTTCATTTTTTCATGGCTACTAGCTGGAACATATTTATTGTAATTTTGATTTTGTATTCTCAACTTTTCTTGGCTACTAGCTGGCTAAAATGTATGCAAAGTACCAAGAAGCGGTTGATGCTCTTCGCCATGAGCAATTGGGAAGGAAGGAATCTGAGGCAGTACTGCAACGGGTATGCTCTGCACTTGTACCTATGATTTTATGTGGTAATCTGGTCCAGTGATAACATGCCATTGTAAATTAGATGCCTTTCGCTTCATCTTTTTTGGATGTCCTTTCCCCTGTCCTCTTCCTGCTCCTTGTTTTCTCAGATTGTGATATGTCTTTCATTTTGTTGGAAAATATTTTCTAAGTTCTGCAGGTTGTTCCATCAACTTTACTTAAGCACGCTGGTTTTCTTTTTGCAGGTTTTGTGTGAACTAGAGGAGAAAGCAGGTGTAATTTTGGATGAAAGAGGTAAAGACATTAAATTGTGAATTAAGAAATTTGACAAGCTAATGGATTCTCTCCCAATTTTTTCTCTTTTAAATTCTTGCCTAATTTGTTTTCAGATGCGTGGAGATTTCATGACTCTTCTTGATTAGTTCATGCATTTATGCTTTTGGTCTAAGAGGAATATATGTTTGTTGCTAGTATAAATAGGCTAGCAACATTAAGGGAGTTTATTCAGTTGAATGATTTCTTGAAAAAGATTGAGCCCTTTGAAGACATACTGACATACATAGAGGTGACTCTATGATGCTCAAGGCTGATGCCATTTAGAAGATAAGGCACTTGAGCAAAAAATGAACCGGTGATTTAATATCCATGATTCCCACCATCCAGATCCTGAGCTAGTCACCTTTACCTTTTAAGTTTATTATTTACAGCAAATGCTTGATTATTTACAGCAAATGCTTGATAAGATCAATCTATTCACATATGTTTTCTCTTGAGGCATGAAATTTTGTTTTGCTGATGGAATTGCTGTTCTGCAGTTGAATATGAGAGAATGGTAGAATCATACTCTGTCATCAACCAAAAATTGCAGCACTCATTTTCTGAACAGGCAAACCTAGAGAAAACAATCCAAGAATTAAAGGTTTGCAACTTATCTAACTCTGCATGTAGTGTGTTTCTGTGGCCACTTTTTGCTGATTAGTTGATACATTTGCTTTCCAGGCAGATTTGAGGAGGCATGAACGTGGTTACAGTTTGGCGCAAAAGGAAATTGTCGATCTTCAGAAACAGGTAGGGATCAGAGGACTTTTTGCCTCCATCATCCATTAGTTTTATGGAAAGCTTGTTTTCTTCTTATCTTGGTTGTAATTGGAATGACTTGATAAGATTCTTTGAGTATATATTTTATTCTTTAATGTCACTTTTGATGTTTATGATAAATGGTTTCCTTTTTTTCCCCCCGCACATCATAAGCAGTCTCCTACTCGTCCTTAGCATTGTTTATGATGTTTTAGGTGACAGTTCTTCTAAAGGAATGTCGTGATATACAACTTCGGTGTGGATCTTCTGGGCATGACCAAGTTGATGATAGTAAAGCCATTGCTCCTGTTGGAATGGATATGGAGTCTGATCCTGAAAATGCAATCTTGGAACGCCTTGTAAGTTCACCCCTTAACTTTTTCTGGAAGACTCATCCACATGAACTTTTTTCTTTTGGCAAAACTGATCAATCATTGATTTCTTGTTTGGTTGGGACTATATATTAAGACCTTCAAGGATATAAATGGGTTAGTTGAGCAGAATGTTCAGCTCAGGAGCCTTGTGCGTAATCTTTCAGATCAGATTGAAGATAAGGAGACGGCGTTCAAGGTACCTCAGAAGAATTTTAATTGAAGTAGCTATTGCTTATAGAGGAGCTTGGGTATCTAACAGTTTATGGTGCATGGATTGCAGGAGAAAATTGAAATGGAACTTAAAAAACACACTGATGAAGCTGCCTGCAAAGTTGCTGCTGTGTTACAAAGAGCTGAAGAGCAGGGTCACATGATTGAATCACTCCACACTTCTGTAAGCTTCGGTGGACTAACATATTGTGCTTCAATTGTACTTCTGTTCTCTTTCCATTAACATCACAATTTCTTTTTTTCCTCACATGCATAGGTTGCAATGTACAAAAGGTTGTATGAAGAGGAACACAAACTTCGCTCATCTTATTCCCGCTCTTCAGATGCAGCTCCAGGTTTTCCATCTTATCTTACTTATGTTTATTGCATGCTTGACATCTCTATACTGAAGTTTTCTGTAGCTGTCTTTATTAGAACTGACAGCTGGATGTTATTGTTAAAACTACTTCTCAAAAAATTGCAAAGTGCCGATACAGTTTGACTGCCTGTTCATGCTTGAAAAACTGTTCCCTTTTCTTTAAAGTATCCTTCACTCAGAAGCACACTATTATTTCCGATTATAAACTTCTTGTGGCTTTGCTATTCTTTGGCTATTGATCAACCTATTTCACCACTGATGACTCATGTAACTCTTACTGTGTTCCGTTATTCTTATAGGTGACTTGTGCATTTATTTATACATCTTTATTATCTCAAATAACAGAACAAAAGTCTTTTTATTTAAATATTTTTCTGCCTTGGTGTGTTTTGATAAATTTTTCTATAGCTTTGCACTCATATTCATCTTGCTAGGAGCATGAGCAGATATTTTCTATAGCTTTGCACTCATATACATCTTGCTAGTCATCATATGTGTTTGGATAATCATAGTCTTATTGATTGAGAATTGTTCATTGTGATGTCCAACGTTTATGAAAAATAAATATCCTAAGTACGTTTGAAATTTGCAGTATTCTTGATATTTCAAATCGTTATAATCTTTCCCACCAGTAGGCTAAAATACTTGGTATTCTGTATTATCTTGACCTTTTCTATTGTATGCTTCTGATATTACTTTTGAAATAAAATTTCATCATGTTTTAATATGTGGGCTTTAGTTTTTCCAGTCATATGCTTGTGCTTTGTGTCCCAAGACACTTGTTGCATTCTGTTCTGAACAACAGTGTATTAGTGTGAATGGCTCATACATAGGAGCAACAAACAATAGATTGATGTGCTGGATGATAATGAAGTGGAAAGTTTATGAAACTTTCAAGGAGATGGAGGCATCCCACTTATTTAGCTGAGCCTTGCTTCATCTACGTTTATGGTTTTGTGCGTGCATCCTTTGCCATTTGTGGTTTTTGCAATTTTGGTTTCTACTAATGGAATTATCCTTCAAAAATTTTGAGTGACGTGATAACATTAGAAGAGTTGTATTCTGGAATTTTTTTTCCAGACCCTTGGAAGAAAATGTATCTCTTTTCCAAAACATTAACTGAAATAGTAATGAATCCAGCAACAGGATTAAAACTAATCACCCAAATTTGCAATCTAATAATCTATACAAGGCAGGAAGAGATAAATCAATTTATCATGTTCCATTATAATGTTTTGAGGAAGGCAATCCATCATACCACAGTTGATTTCTGTTGAGTACCTTGTATCCTTTCTCGATTCATGCTCCATAGCATTCAAATGCTGTCTCCAACTTTGTTAATATCCTCTTTTTGCAATAGTTTCCTAGTATATCCTACTTTCATTAAACATAAATATATGTGTTAACAAATATGTATGTTATGGTTACTGCTTAACTTGACATGTTAATGTTTGTAGCCCTGAAACATTTCAACCTAGGATATTTTTTGCATTACAACTTGATCTTCTCTTATCTATTTGTCACTTGATGTTATTGTGCTCTCCAAATGCTCATCTGATTTTCATGCATGATTCAATGATAACAATGCAGTTGAAGAGGATGGAAGAAGGAACCGTTTACTTCTGCTTGAAGATTCTCAGGTACGGTCAATACTGAAGTTTTTAAGATAGCCAGTGTCATGTTAATCATTCTTCTGAATGCATTCCATATGATTAAAAAACAGGAAGCTACTAAGAAGGCCCAGGAAAAGGCTGCTGAGCGATTAAGATCTCTTGAGGAAGATTTGGCGAAATCTAAGTAAAGTTCATATCCTTTTCTTTTACGGAGTTCTGCTTGTAAAATAAATTTTGTTTGCCATTGTGTACTTCCAATGTACTCAAACGCAACACCTTTATATTTTTTAAGCTTGTTACCTGTAAATAAAAAGCACTTGAATGGATCTGAAAAAATGTTGATGGCGATGCTCATTATTCTCAGTTGATTATAGTTGACATATGCGTTTAACACTGCCATCATTTCACATT